AACGCCCAGAACACGACTTTTCATAAGTTCAAAACACGTGTGTCGATCGACGCACACCTTGTGTCGATTGACGCATCACCAAAAATCCACTTTTTGGTTCACGGACGTTACGATTATTCATAACTATATTGACCAATGCCATAAAATACATGAATTACCTATATATTTAAATTTATTACATGATTTTTTTAAAGGGTCAATTCCATCTAAACCGTAAACGGAGTGAGTTTTACGTTGATGATTGTTGGCATGAATTACACTGTTTTGATATGGTTTAAAATTTATTGAATTTTTTTTTTTAATTGTTATGACCAAAACGATGTTTTTTGGGTTAATTAGCTGAATATAAGAAATTAGGTAATTAAAATATCCAAATAAATATTTAGGTAACTAGAAGAGAGAATAAATAATATGACGAAATTGCCCTTACAATTGTAATTAAGATAAATCAGAAAGAAAAAAATCTATAAAAATTTTCTCTTGAAATTTTGATAGGTTGTATCTTGTAAAAGTAAATCAGTGTCTTGCCCAACTACTCTAAAAAAAAATCAGAAAAGAAAATGACGAAAAAAATATTAACAGTTAATTATTTAATAACATAGTTAACTATTTTCGAAACTACTTATTCAATTGATCTTATAACATAGTTAACTATGTCACATTATTTGTAACTATCTAAACATATTTAACTATGTTTAGAAAATAGTTACCAATTTAAAAATATAGTTAACTATTTTTAAAAACATGGTTACTTATTATAATGAAAAAAATAACATACATAGTTAAKWAWWAATAACATACATAGTTAACTATTATTAAAAATATAGTTACATATTATAATAAAAAAATAACATAGATAACTATTCATAGAAACATATATATTATCTACTATACTGATTTCCGAATATAGTTACCTATGTCGATCTCACCGGCGGATCAGTTTGACCAAGAGAAGAGAGCTTAACGAATGAGAAACAATTTCATCTTAATTTGCGATTAGAGATTTTGATTCATGATAACGAATTAAAACAAAGTATTTGACAG